AGCCGTGAGGCTCGGGAGTACGCCTTGGTCCGAGTCTGGTGGATGTTGCTCCGCACGGGCCCCAGGGCGATTCCGCTCCTCTGCACCCCGGAGTCGCGAACCGGTGCGGTCCAGCTTCGGGGGCTCAGGAGCAACGATTGTGGGAGGATAGGCATAGGGGGAAATGCACCGACCCCCAATCGCCCACTGATCGCCCACAGGGCCCGATAGCCCAACCTGCCCAGGAACGTGCGGATTCACTCTCGAGGGCATATCGCCGATCTATCGGCGATATACCGCCGATTCCAAGTCCATGTGTCCCCCCGTATGCCAGCCCCCCCCTTATCGTTGCCCCTCAAGGGCGGCCCAGAGGGGGGTAATGACCCGCGGGTGTGCATACATCGACGGGGGCCACGAGATCCCCCCAGATCTCAAGGCCTTTTTTTCCGCCCTCAGTTCCTCCCTTGCGTCCCCCCCCCCTGGGCCGCGCACATGCCGCGGGACGCCCCCCTCGTGGACGCCCCCGGCAGCCCGTCTCGTGCCCGATTGTGGCCGTCGATTCTGGTTGATCCCTTCTGAGGCTCTCGGGCCCATGTGCGTGCTACAGCATCAGTGCCTCGCCGGGGGCTGTGTGGGGGCGCTGGGGCTCTTCCAACTGGGCGTGGGGGTGCCCGCCTGTCCTGTCCCCCACGGCTGGGCTTCGCGCGAGCTTGCTGGCATGATAGCAGCCAGGACGGGCCCACAACTGGCTTTGAACGGTCTCTTGTTGGGGGAATGGAGGTCAGAAACGGATCTGTCCCCTCCAGAGGTGCGTCTGGTAGATTTTTTTTGTACAGCTCGAGCTTCAGAGGGCTTGCTTGGGGCGATCCCAAAACACTTCGGACCCGAGGCGCCTGCTGGAACGCCGCGCTCAGTGGTAGAAAGCTGGGCATGGGGGGGACACTCGTCTCCGCAGGAAGGGGAGGAAGTGGCCGATGATGATGATGACGATGACGATGATGATGATGATGATGATGATGATGATGATGATGATGATGATGATGATGATGATGATGATGATGCTGATGCTGATGCTGATGCTGATGCTGATGCTGATGCTGATGCTGATGATGCTGATGCTGATGCTGATGCTGATGCTGATGCTGATGCTGATGCTGAGGAGGAGTAGGAGCAGAAGGATGCATAATCTACTATTCATGATGATGTGTCTGATGGTGGTGGTGGTGATGATGATGATGATCATGATAACGATGATGATGATGATGATGATGATGATGATGATGATGCTGATGATGATGATGATGAGAAGGAGGATGAGGATAACCATGATGATGATCCTGCTGCTGCTGATGATGATAATGATGATGATGCTGCTGATGATGATGATCATGACGGTAATGATGATCATTGTGATGATGCTTATGATGCTGATGCTGCTGATGATGACGATGATGATGATGATGATGCTGATGCTGATGATGATGATCATGACGGTAATGATGATCATTGTGGTGATGCTTATGACGCTGATGCTGCTGATGATGACGATGATGATGATGACGGTGATGCTGATACTGATGATGATACTGATGCTGATGCTGCTCATGATGATGATGCTGCTGCTGATGATGCTGCTGTTGATGATGATGATGACGATACTGCTGCTGCTGCTGATGATGCTGATGTTGATGAAGATGATGATGATGCTGATGCTGCTGATGATGACGATGCTGATGATGATGGTGATGATGCTTTTGATGCTGATGATGCTGATGATGCTGATGATGCCGATGATGCTGATGATGCTGATGATGCTGACTATGATGATGCTGATGCTGTTGATGATGATGGTGGTGATGATGATGATGATGCTGCTGCTGCTGATGATGATGATGATGCTGATGATGATGATGATGATGATGATGTGGAGGAGGAGGAGGAGGGGGAGGAGGAGGAGGGGGAGGAGGAGTTGGAGGAGGAGTTGGAGGAGGAGGAGGAGGAGAAGGGGGAGGAGGAGGAGGAGGAGGAGGAGGAGGAGGAGGAGGAGGAGGAGGAGGAGGAGGAGGATGAGGATGAGGAAAGTGAAACGGAGGAGGAGAGTGGGAAAGCATGATGACGGGAATGGGCTTTAAAGAGGGCCTAGTGAATAATGAAGACGAGAAAAGGCAGGATTGAGAAAAGACGAAGGAGGGAGGGACGAGGGGTGAGGACGGGGCCGGTTGGATGATTGAGGTGAAGGAAAATTGTAGGGATGGTGATTAGCCTCGAGGAAGGAGTATGCTATCTTCCTCCCTGCAGGCTTATCAGCCTACTCTCTGTTTTCCTCTTCGTCGTTCTAGTCCCCGTCGTCGTTCTGTTCATCTCCCTATGTTTTTTCCCCATATCCTAAGATGGGGTTCTTGTTATTACTTGGACGCCTCCTACTCCTCCTCCTCCCTCCTCCTCTTTTCTCCTCCCCTCCTGTCGGACTTACTCATACTCACACTTACTCATACTCAGACTTACTCATACACAGACTTACTCATACTCAGATTTACTCATACTCATACCTACTCATACTCAGACTTACTCACACTCAGGCATACTCATACACAGACTTACTCATACACAGACTTACTCACACCAAGACGTACTCATACACAGATTCACTCATACCCAGACTTACTCATACACAGTATTAGTCACACTCAGACTTACTCATACCCAGACGTACACATACACAGACTTTCTCATACACAGACCTACTCATACCCAGACTTACTCATACACAGACTTACTCATACACAGACTTACTCATACTCAGGCATACTCATACTCAGACCTACTCATACTCAGACTTACTCAACACACATCAGATTTGGAGGATGTCTCAGGCGGGGCGCTCGTTTCAGCACCCCTAAGGGGAGCCGCCAGGGGTGATTGCACGGGTTCGTTCGCGGCCATTTTGTGGGGATGTCTCAGGCGGTTTGCCTGTTTCTGGGCTCAACATCCTTCGCTTGGAGAGCAGATTGTGAGGATGTCTCAGGCGGGGCGCTGGTTTCAGCACCCCTAAGGGGAGCCGCCAGGGGTGATTGCACGGGCTCGTTCGCGGCCATTTTGTGGGGATGTCTCAGGCGGTTTGCTTGTTTCTGGGCTCAACATCCTTCGCTTTCGGAGCAGATTTGGAGGATGTCTCGAGCGAGGCGCTCATTTTCACCCCCCAGGTGGGCCAGATTTTGAGGATGTCTCGATCGGTTTGCTTGTTTTGGTGGCCAGGCTCGTGGCCCTAAGGGGAGCCGCCAGGGGTGGTTGCACGGGCTCGTTCGCGGCCATTTTGTGGGGATGTCTCAGGCGGTTTGCTTGTTTCTGGGCTCAACATCCTTCGCTTTCGGAGCAGATTTGGAGGATGTCTCGAGCGAGGCGCTCATTTTCACCCCCCAGGTGGGCCAGATTTTGAGGATGTCTCGATCGGTTTGCTTGTTTTGGTGGCCAGGCTCGTGGGCGCAGATTCTTCTCAGGATGCCACAGGAGGCTCCAACAGGCTCCAGGAGGCCCCAGGAGACCACATGAGGTCCCAGGAGGCATCAGGAGGCCACAGAAAGACTCAAGAGGCCACAGGATGTCCCAAGAGGCTCCAGGAGGCCCCAGGAAGCTCCAGAAGGCCTCAGGAAACCACAGGAGGCCCCAGGAGGCAACAGGAAGCGCCAGGAGGCCTCGGAAGGCAACAGGAGGCCCCGAGAGGCCCCAGGAGCAGGAGGCCTCAGAAGGCAACAGGAGTGGCTCCAATCCCATGTGTTTTACGTATGCTCCTATCGATTGGGCCTCACCTGGAGCACGATTCTTTGATGTTCTACGTATGTTTCTATAGATGGTCCTTCTCCTGTGTACACAATCCTAAATGTTTTACTCATGTTCCTATATATTGGGCCTCTCCTGGGGCACGAGTCCTTGGTGTTTTACGCGTGTTCCTATAGATTGCCCTTCTCCTGTGGCTCTAATCCGCAATGTTTTATGTACGTCTGTTGCTATAGATTGCGCCTCTCCTGGGGCACGAAACCTTCCTAGGAGGTCCCAGGAGGTCCCAAGAGGCTCCTGGAGACCCCAGGAAGCCCCAGTAGGTTTCAGGAGGCCCCAGGAGGCCCCAGGCTCATGCACAGAGACGCGCTCGTACTACTGAGGCTCATTCACACTCCAATTCATTCGCAGTTAGATTGATGTCCAGACCGTCACAACTGAAGCCCGTTAATATTCGAAAGCTCTTGCGCCTAGACATTCACGGCGGACAGGTCCATGCGAGTAGATGCACATATGGGGAGCTCCACGCAGTGAATAATGCTGCTCCCCTTGTGTCTATCCTCCTCCTCCTCCTCCTCTTCCTCCTCCTTCCCCCATGGACGGGGACGCAGACGAGGAAGAGGATTCGGCTGTGCGCTGAGGGGGGAAGCGAGAGAGGTGTCAGGCCTTCTCACAACTCGGCGAGGCTTCTCAGAATCTCTCCGGCCTTCCGGGAGGCCCTCTGCGGCTTCGGAGAAGGCCGCGAGATGCCTTCGGAAGGCCTCGGCCGCCCGAGCCTGCCGAGGGAGCCCGCTTTCTCTCTGCCCTCCCCCCTGGGCGCGCGCTCCGCCGAAAGATCAGCCTGGCTCCGAAGAGGAGGAGGAGGAGGAGGAGGAGGAGGAGGGGGAGGAGGAGGAGGGGGAGGAGGAGGAGGAGGAGGAGGAGGAGGAGGAGGAGGGAGGAGGAGGAGGAGGAGGAGGAGGAGGAGGAGGAGGAGGAGGAGGAGGAGGAGGGGCACCCCCTCTCCAGCCGAGCGCTTTGACGCAGGTGCATCTACACGCCGTGCGCTCCGGTGCCTCCCGGGAGAGCGGGGCAAGCGGAGTTCCTGTGGCCACCCGGGCGCTTCCTCCTCCCTCCCTCCCTCCCTCTCCTCTTCCTGTCCGATTCGCTCTGGGGTCAGCTGGGCCCAGGGATGGGCAGACGGCGGCACCGCGTCCTCCTCCCCACCCGCACTGTTGCCTTTCCCCCCCCTTTCGACTCCTCGTCCCCTCGTCCCCTCCTCGCCCCCTTTGTCCCCTCGTCCCTTCCGATTCCTCGCTCCATCGTCCCTCCTCGTCCCCTTTGGCTCCT